CGGCGTTGCCCAGCATACCATGCCACAGCGTTGCCCAGCGTGCCATGTCATAGCCTTGGCCAACATGCTATGCCACGGCCTCGGCACACATGTCACGCCACAGCGTTGCCCAGCATGCCAAGGCCAGAATGCCCTGCCACGGCCACGGCCCGCATGCCATGCCATTGCCTCGGCCCGCATGCCTTGCCATTGCGTTGCCTAGCATGCGACGCCACAGCGTTGCCCAGCATGCCAAGTCCAACATGCCATGCCACGGCCTCGGCCCACATGGCTTGCCACGGCGTTGCTAAGCACGCGATGCCACAGCGTTGCACAGCGTGCCATGCCACAGCCTCAAGCCGCATGCCATGCCACAGCATTGCCCAACGTGCCACGCCACGGCCTCGGCCCGCATTCCATCGCACATTGTTGCCCTGCATGCCAAGGCCGTAATGCCATGCAAGGCCTGGGCCCGCATGCCATGGCACAACGTTGGCCGGCATGCCAAGGCTGGAATGCCATGCCACAGCCTCGGCCTGCACGCCATGCCACGGCCTTGGCCCTCATGCGACAACTTTGCCAAGTGAGCCGTGCCACGGCCTGGGCACGCATGCGATGCCACGGCCCCAGACCGCATGCCTTGACACAGCGTTCCCCAACATGCCATGCCACAGCGTTGCCTAGCGTGCCATGCCTTAGCCTTGGCCAACATGGCACGCCACGGCCTCGGCCCGCAAGACATGCCACAGCGTTGCCCAGCATGCCAAGTCCGGAATGCAATGCCACGGCCTTGGCCCGCATGCCTTGCCATGGCCCTGCTAAGCATGCCATGCCACAGCGTTGCACAGCGTGCCATGCCACGGCCTCGGCCCGCATGCCATCGCACAGCGTTGCCCTGCATGCCAAGGCCGAAATGCCATGCCACGGCCTGGGCCCGCATGCCATGCCATGGCCTGGGCCCGCATGCCATGGCACAGCGTTGGCCGGCATGCCAAGGCCGGAATGCCATGCCATGGCCTCAGCCCGCAAGCCATGCCATGGCCTCGGCCAGCATGCCACAACGTTGCCCAACGCGTCATGCCACGGCCTCGGCACGCATGCCATGCCACGGCCACGGCCCGCATGCCTTACCACGGCGTTGCCCAGCATGCCACGCCACAGCGTTGCCCAGCCTGCCATGCCTTTGCCTTGGCCAACATGGCATGTCACGGCCTCGGCCCGCATGACATGCCACAGCGTTGCCCAGCATGCCACGCTACAACGTTGCACAGCATGCCAAGTCCAACATGCCATGCTACAGCCCCAGCCCGCATGCGTGCCACGGCCTCGGCACTCATGCCATGCCACGGCCACGGCCCGCATGCCTTACCACGGCGTTGCCCAGCATGCCACACCACAGCGTTGCCCAGCCTGCCATGCCTTTGCCTTGGCCAACATGGCATGTCACGGCCTCGGCCCGCATGACATGCCACAGCGTTGCCCAGCATGCCACGCTACAACGTTGCACAGCATGCCAAGTCCAACATGCCATGCTACAGCCCCAGCCCGCATGGCATGCCACAGCCTCGGCCCGCATGCCTTGCCACAGCCTCGGCCCGCATGCCTTGCCACGGCGTTGCTGAGTATGCCCTGCCACAGCGTTGCACAGCGTGCCATGCCACGGCCTCGGCCCGCATGTCATGCCACAGCGTTGCCCAACGTGCCATGCCACGGCCTCGGCCCGCATGCCATCGCACAGCATTGCCCTGCATGCGAAGGCCGAAATGCCATGCAAGGCCTGGGCCGGCATGCCGTGCCACGACCTGGGCCCGCATGCCATGGCACAGCGTTGGCCGGCATGCCAATGCCGGAATGCCATGCCACGGCCTCGGCCCGCACGCGCTGCCACGGCCTCGGCCAGCATGCCACAGCGTTGCCCAGCGCGTCGTGCCACAATGTCGGCCCGCAAGCCATGCCACGGCCACGGCCCGCATGCCATGCCACGGCGTTGCCCAACATGCCATGCCACAGTGTTGCCCAGCGTGCCATGCCTTACCCTTGGCCAACATGGCACGCCACGGCCTCGGCCGCATGACATGCCACAGCGTTGCCCAGCATGCCAAGTCTGGAATGCAATGCCATGGCCTCGGCCCGCATGCCTTGCCACGGCACTGCAAAGCATGCCATGCCACAGCCCCGGCCAGCATGCCAAGCCCCGGCCTCAGCCCGCATGCCTCGCCACAGCGTTGCCCAGCATACCATGCTACAGCGTTGCCCAGCATGCCAAGCCATAGCCTTGGCCAACATGCCATGCCACGGCCTCGGCACGCATGTCATGCCACAGCGTTGCCCAGCATGCCAAGGCCGGAATGCAATGCCACGGCCTCGGTCCGTATGCCATGCCACTGCCCCTGCCCGCATGCCTTGCCATGGCGTTGCCTAGCATGACACACCAAAGCGTTGCCCAGCATGCCAAGTCCAACATACCATGCCACGGCCTCGGCCCGCATGCCTTGCCACGGCGTTGCTAAGCATGCCATGC